TGAGCAGTTTACACCTGAGAGTAAGATGGCCTTGTATTCTGCTATGATGTAGATGGCCTGATGAATGTCCTCGGAATCACACATGACCCACAAGAATGGTGACTATTCATAGACTCCTCAAAATTGAGTCTCCAGAGTCAAGGCAGTGTTGCTGCATAATGGAAACAGACCTCCCTCCATCCGAGTCAGACACACTGTCTACATGGAACCCACAGCAACCTAAAAACAGCTGTTACGGCTGTATTCAATACAGCAAGTAAGGCTGGCATCTCTGTGGTGACTTTGTGCAGCTGGAATATATGAAGTACAGTGGAACCTCGACTTACGTACGGCTCTACTTACGTACGATTCCAGTTATGACCTTCAGTAGGTGCTTCGACTTGTGAACTTTCTCTAGATACGAACAGAGGCCTTGCCAGCAGCCCAGAGCTCGGCTGGCTGGCTGCGGAGCAGCGCTGAGGCCTCTGCTGCTGGGGAGAGGGCCCTCATCCCACCCCTGAAGCTGTGGAAGAGGTGCCGCCTGCAAGAGGCACAGCAGGGAGCAATGCAGCCCCAAACCCCACCGAGGAACTAACCTGAGGAAGTCCAGAGGAGAACCTGGCCTGGCAAGAAAAACAAGTGACCCTGGCTGAAGTGAATAAGCTCTTTACTGACCCTTGCCCCACCCCCAGCTTGTAGCCAGGTAAGCCCACCCACCCTCAATGCACGTAAGAAAATGTTTTTGTTTTTTTTATCTAAATACCGTCTTATTTGTTTTATAGTACAGTACATTGATTATTGCCTTCATTTTGTGGATCTATGGTCTCGTTAAGACAGTAAAATCCATGTTAAATTGCTGTTTTAGGGAGTGTTTTTCATTGTCTAGAATGGATCAATTCACTTTTCCGTTACTTTCTATGGAAAAGTGCGCCTCTACTTATGTACATTTCTACTTATGACCGGATCTCCGGAACAGATTATGGTTGTAAGTAGAGGTTTCACTGTACTCTGTTTTTATGTGAATGGGGCAGCCAAGCAAAGACTTTGCACTGCGTGAAGAGACTGGCCTCCAAAGGTTGGAGAGAAGAATGTGCAACAGCCAGCACTGGCAGAAATGCACAAAATCCTACTACCGCCCCTATACATCAAACTCAGTCTGGTGAAAAACTTTTTTTAAAATCAATGGACCAAACTGGATCAGCTTTCAAATACCTGGCTGACAAATTCCCTTGACTCAGCAAAGTGAAATTTAAAAACGGAGTTTTTGTGGGTCCTCAGATCAACAAGCTCCTCAAAGATGAGATGTTCAACAACCTGCTTCAGAATGACAAGAAAAAAAGCTTGGTCTGGTGTCAACTAACTTCCTTGGGAATGTCAGGACAGAAAACTGGAAGGAACTGGATGAGGACATATCTCTGTATCACAAACATAACTGCAAACTTGGCTTGGCTTTTACAGTACATGATGTATGTATGTAATCCTCGATTATACAATAAACTATTGCAGATCTCTAAGAATGAGTAGCCAATTTTGTTTTCAGTGTCATATTCGGCACCTCAAAATCTACAGAGGCATGATTTTTGTCAACATTTGTTGTGCTGTGTTACCTCGTCCCTCCCAAGGTGAGCTAAATCTGGCAGGACAGCTTTCTCTATGGTTTTAACCCCTTCATGCATTAATTAGATGCATGCATGTTGGTTATGTCAGGCTGGCTATGCCACAGTAGTAATTGTGTCTTGCCAGTTTCACCAATACTGCCCATTCCAAGACTGAGATGCACACAGAATGATACTCAAAAGGATCTCCCTTAACCTTGCACAGTCTCAAGAATATGGTGGTCAACTAAACCATCTCCAATAGAGGACAAAAGAGGATAAAGTGCTAATTCATTTGAAAAGATGCAAATGTAGACATAATTGCTATAATTTTATTGAGTACATCTCACTATAATGGGGAAAACTGTGACCAGGTAACCTGTGTACCTCCTCAGTCTGTTGTCCAGCTGCAACTTTGAGGCCCCTTCAGATCTCCCTGAAGTTTAAGGTAAAGGTAAAGGTACCCCTGACCGTTAAGTCCAGTCGTGGATGACTCTGGGGTTGCAGCGCTCATCTCACTTTACTGGCCAAGGGAGCTGGCATTTGTCTGCAGACAGCTTCCGGGTCATGTGGCCAGCATGACTAAGCCGCTACTTGCATTTTGATGTGCTTTCAAACTGCTAGGTTGGCAGGAGCTGGGACCAAGCAACGGGAGCTCACCCCGTCACGGGGATTCGAACCGTGGATCTTCTGATCAGCAAGCCCTAGGCTCAGTGGTTTAGACCACAGCGTCACCTTACATTTAAAAACTAGAATTGGACCAAACAGCCCTTCAAGTAGAGGTCCTAACCTCCATAACGTAAGTCACATGGCTGCCCTACACTACTCATTGGATGACAAAACCTCAGTCTGACTGGACTCACTGCTCAGTACAGATGTAAGAAGGCGCCGTTTTCCTTTCCGTCCTGCATTCATCGCATGCAGCAATATTTCCATTCGGCTGCAGTTCACCTTCTGCCCAAAGCTATTATCTGTTTGCTATGCCAAAACTGCATACCTTAAATATTTTACATAATTATTACTTTGTGTTGCTAATACTTTATTTCACCGCAATCCTTTCAATGCAAGGGAAACCCTTTGCATGAATTGATTTTCATTCCAGACATGGGACAAATAAGCATACACTGGCAGTCCCTGTTTCTTTCAGAATTCTTCGACATCTTTCCTGCTGAGATGAAGGGAAAACATTAACATTGCTGAGTTCAGGGGGAGAAAAGATGGCTTCAGAGTCAGGTGCTTGGTGGCTTCAGTGAACCACGTAGATTTCTCCCAGACGCTGAGGATAATTTGCAGGCTGCATGAAAAACTGTCCCCTTGAATCTAGGAGAAAAAACCTGACAACACATCACCAAAAAGTTAAGAGACAAAATGGGGAAACAAAGACTTCAAAACGGAAGTTTCTCTAGATTGTGGTGTGCTTTAGCTCTCCAAGAGGAGCCCTTTACACTATGGAGAGGAGATATGTGCACTTTTCCAGGTTTGCAAAGAACCAGAGCATCCTGTTTGATAGATCCCAAACTTTGCAGTGTGCTCCCCCAGGTGGCCCTGCTGTGTACAACATTGAATCAATCTGCAGCATTCAGGGTCGTGCATGAAATCTGATGTCCGCGCAGACAACATCATTCAACAGGGTGATTGCTAAAGGGAGTGAGATTCTTAAAGCAATCATTTTCAACTGCAGCAACTGGGAGAGCACTGTTGCGCTCAGGTTCCGCTTGCAAACTTTCCCGTGTCATCTGGTTGGCCACTGTGGGAACAGGATGCTGGACAAGATGGGTCTTTGGATGAATCCAGCAGCAGGTTTCTCATATTATACAGCTGCAGAAATGATGGCTGATACTACTGCATGACCTGTGGCATCAGGCACTGGTACCACTGATTTATGTATTATTATTTATAAAATTACTAGTTGCTTGTTAGCTAAAATGTCTCCAAGCAACATTTTAAAAACATATATTATACCATGAAAGATCTTAAATCTACCATGCTGACCAAGAAATTGGAGATATCAGTGCTATCAACAAACACCCCTGCTCAAGCTGTATGTGCAAATAAAATAATTAAGATGCAACAATATATGAGTTCAGAATGTGCTGGAAAAGTAGCGCTTCAAAGGAAAACCAGAAATGCCATCTTTTATTTGAAAATTTATTGAAAAAATGCAATACAAGTAGCAAGATTGAACACGTCTAAATGCTACATCTACTTTCCCTTTGACTACAAAAGTTCAAAATAACAGCTACTTAAGCTATAAAGATTTGCTTCCCCACACCCTCTGTTCCTATCCCCCACCCCCAAAGAAAGTAATAATCAGCTATTCTATACAATTCACCATTGTCTTAAAATTTTTACAAAGCTCCTTCATATCTGCAGTGAAATAATTTGTGACTGAATGTGTAAAAAAACAACAAAAACCCCGTCAGAACACAAATATTTAATTGTCCATTATAGGAAAATGGCAAAGCACAGTTTATGAACACTCCCCCAAATAAAACTCAGAAAACTTTTAATAGCTGGCTGCCCACTTCTGTCTGGCAAGTGAAGCTGCAATTTTTATTCCCAGTTTGGTCAGTATAGATTACCATCCTGCTGCCCTTCCTTCTGTACACACATTCATACATAAATAGCTTTCATTTACTATACAGTTAAGACAGTTTCCGGATAATCTCATAGATGAGGGAGGAAGTTACTGGGAACATATTGCCATCTCAGCATTATAAATAAATAGACCATATTTCATTTACTGCCCTAATGGTAGCACTGGCCCCCAGGAATTCCGAAGACCTCTAGAAACCAAATTTATTCTACAGGCAATTAATGTGATGGTGGTGGATTTGAGGGTGCCGGCAGCCCACTCACAAGAAACAGCAATTCCCCATGTTGGTGGCAGATAAATCAGAGGGATGCATCTCTGGTATCTTAGTCCTAAGTGAGGAACAGAGAACCTGTGGCCTTCCAGAAGTTGCTGGACTACCATTCCCAGGAGCACTGGCTATGCTGGCTGAGGCTGATGGGAGTTGGAGTCCAACAGCATCTAGAGGGCCACCAGTTCATCATCCTGGTTCTAAGTGGCCTTCACAGCAGCGAGCTTGAAAAGGTAAGCCAGCTCAGCAAATAGTTCAAAAGAAATTTGTTTTGTTTCCACTGGTCTGTCTGCCCCTGCGTATGTGGGTTACTTATGGCACATAAGCAGCCTGAAATGGAAAAGAACCAACTTTGTCTATTGACAAAGGGTACTCTCTGCCTGGTAGCCAGGTGTTCCTTCCTTACCACAGGTAACCATGTCAGTGGCTATTTTTAAGCCCAGATGCTAAGGAAATTTTTTCCCTATATTCCCTATAGCAAAGGGAGCATATTGAAGGCTGGGGTGGGTGGGTTATGTTGTGATTTAGCTTTCTAAGAAGCCCAATAATAATGTATTTTTTTAAAAAAGCAAGCTTCTGTACTTATGAACGCTAAGTTTACAAGTGTACGGGTAACGTCTGCTGAAATCTAGAAACCGGGGGAATTGTTGAAGGGAATACCTTGTAAAAGCATTGTGCTTCTCTCCCTACAATGATCAGAAGCAGAAATGATATAGTGTGGGAGTAAATAGCAAAATACATGGCACAAAAGTAATATGAATCTGCTTGATTTGCATACTTTATACAAGTAGCAGAATTCAGCATTTCTTGCCACAGAATTGGGTTACTTCAGTGCAGACTTTTTTCTCCTGTTTTGTGCAGAACCTAAAGGAAGGTAGGGGATCTTCTGTTGGAGACGGAAAGCTTACTACTCATCAGACAAAGCAAGACCAACTTCCATCACCTAAGGCTGTTAGTCCTAAATGCCTTAGACTTTTGCCAAGAGGGTCTGTGATGGATTAAAAAACTATTTCAAAAAGAAACTTGGGTGGCCCTCAATGAGTTACTTACTTAGTAATTTACCTTCAGAGTTATGTCTTCCCACATTTCTACTGTCTCCTCCCAGGATTGTTTCTCACACTTGCTTTCTTCCCTTGTGATTCTGAATGATTAAGATTTGAGTGGATTTTTAAGCAATGCTAAATATTTACACCCTGAAGGGGAAGACGGGAATGTGCAAAAGAAGCTAACATCAGATGTCTATATAGGACAGGAGAGCATTGGGGTGCATGGAAAGTCGGAATCACCCCCACTTAAACACACCCTATGCGCAAAACTGGTGGGGAGGGGCAATGTGTCTGCTGGATGAGGTTCCTGCACACAAGGGGTGGTGAGCTCTTAAACTGGAAAAGCAATAGGTAGGTCAGTGGTCAGGAGAAGGGACAATCTGAGAAGCATGCCCTTGATTAGATAAGAGTAAATTCCTGTTTAATGGGAAATCCAAACTTCATGCAAAAGAAGTGTCTGAAAGTAGAGTTTTAAAATAGAACAGGACTTCACCAGCTAGTTAGCCACAGGATACAAAAAGTTAAAAATCATGCTGAGTGACAGCTCAAGGAAGGACAAGACATACCTTCAAATAACATACTGAAAAAGCAATAATTCCATTAATAAATGTGTAACAGTGCTGCAATTGTAGTAAAGTTTGAGATTTCATAAAGATGCCATCTTTAGAATTATGGAACTATTTTATAGCTGGTGCTTAAAGCTTTTAATAGCAGAGGAAAAGGAAGCTGCAGAAGAATTATGCACTAGAAAGTGACACAACCAAAATTGTCTTCCACAATAAATAATTTTTTTAAGTGCTATGGGTTGATTTTTTATTTTGATTTTTAAAAGTTCAGTCTAAGATTTTTAGGAAGGTAGCCCATTAGTTCTATTTGTAAAGAGAAGGGCATATAGAAACCCACAAATAATGTTACAGCCCAAGTTTGTTCACTTGGAAGGAAGTCTGTTGTTTCCAGCTGGGCTTTACTCACAGCTAAGTGCATCAGATGGCAACCACTGAAGGCTTGTTGTGGCTGACGGGACCCCAGAGCACATTGGAGCAAAGCTGATTGAGCAGTGCTAAACTCTTACACGTCCATAATGCTTTCAAACTCTAAATAAGACTGTATTAACTCCCTAACTGAAACCTACTCAAAACTGAGGGGGAAAGTAGACATGCGGTATGATAATATAGCTTCCACACAACTGCTCGTTTTCACTGAAATCAGATTCTTTTCAATGTGTGTTCTTGTTTTCTTTAAACAGCAGAAGGCATTCCTCTTCACTTAAATGCTAGAATCAGCCCTCATCCCGCCCCTCAGCTTTGAGGTGGTGCACTCAAAAGAATTTCAACTTCATACCTCTCAGAAAAAATATCACTCATAATTCTACAGAACTTTTACATGCTGCTGGAAGGAAAGAACAAGCCTGCAGTTTTTAGTGTTGCCAAGGAAATCTTTCAACTAAGCATGGAGAGGAAGTTCATCTTATTTGTGAAGAACATGTTGCATCCTAATTTGGAATCCTCTCATTCTTCCTACATGGGGAAAACATTTAAAGGAAATGAAACTGCTCCCCAGTTAAGAGTACTGATACCAACTACCTTTCGTGAGATTTGTTTTAAAAGTGTACTTTTAAAGTCATAAGGAGAAAAAGTTATTTTGGGTGGAAACAAACCCACACAGAGAAAAACTAACTTAAATCTGCTCTTGTTCTAATTTGGATTTTTTTTTTTTTATGGCATTCAACATTCTCTAGTGATAGCCAATCAGAACACACCTAGGTTAAGATCTTGAGAACTGCAGCCAATCCTGGGGTTTGTTATTTCATTTAGCATGGTAGCAATGCAGCATCCACCATTCATTTCAGCAGCCTTATGCAATAAGTTTTGTATGACCTCAATGACTCAAAGGAAGGAGGTGCAACAGTAGTATGCTCTAGGGACTGTGCACAAGAAGAACTACAAATTATTATATTGTCTTATAAGGAGCATTAAGTGACTTGCAACATGTACAGGCTTAGTTTTTAACAGCAATCATTGGAAACAATCTACAATACTGATGATGCCTTTGTAATTGCCTGCTTAAAGAATACAGATTTAGGAATGCTGGATTGTCTCTAAGGGATGACTTGTGCTTCATTTATCCCTTCCTGTGATATGTTACCAGTGTGCCAAGTTTAAATAGTGCTTTAAAAACCAATGATTTTAAAACTATGCTACCAAAACCACAAAAACTCAAAACACAAACAATTGGGAAGGAGAAAAAAGAAAATAAATGAACACCCCATCCTATTGTTATAAATTACAGCCTATTTCATAGTGTGTAGAGCCCACACCTCTTAAACACACAATTCTAATAGGCTTAATTTAATGGAGAACAAAAAGAGGGGGGAAATAGGAGAGTGAATTTACAAGAGATTTAGTATTCCAAGGAGTGCAAAGAAGAAAAAAGGAGAGAGCTGGAAAAACATGGTGCCTTGTCACAATTGATTAAAACCTCTAGAATTCACAGTATAAAAGGTGAAGCAATTTCCATCATTTCTGAATCTAGACTACTACTGAAATACCTGTGCAAATACCACAACCCCCTGCTATATTCAAGCATCTAAGGGGCTGACAAACCAACAAAAAGCAAGGGAAATCCAGAGGAAAAGAGGGCAGGCACATTTGCGCCTGGCATATATAAAATAGCTGTGATTAGGAAATTCTGAATATATCTCAGATCCACAAGAGCCAAGACAAAGCATTGCACAAGTGTTTTCCTGACTTCTCAGGCAAGAGGGGTCACTTCTAGGTCACTGAGACCCCCACACTATAACATGTTCAAAGTTATGTGAGAATGCAAACTGCTTGAGGAGGAAAAGAAGGAAGAAGGGCAATGCAGTTCAATCAAAGGCAATCACTTTCGATAAGCTCTACATGTTCTTTTTGTGTGGGCCTCTGACTTCATAATACAGATCCAGAAAAGGTGGCGGGAAAGGAAATGCAAAAATGCAAAAAGTGGGGTGGGGGATTGCAAAACTGTAAAAAAAAAAAAAACCAGTACTGTGAAAAATATGGCATACTGTCGGTCACAATATAAAAATGATAATCAAAAAGGATCCACTGTGTTAAGGAGAATCCGAAGTAAACATCAAAAAGCACAACTTCCTAGTAATAAATGATAGAATGTTTGACTGAGAGTAAATCTGGCAAGTTTGAGGTCATGGTGCTCCAAGGTAGCTTCCTTGTAGTTTTGCTGGTATATGTCGGGTGGCCTCCGCAGACTGAAACAGACATCGCCTAGGGAAACACAAATTTATGCTAAATTACCAATCAGTAGAAAACAAGTCTGAAATTCTGAAACATCTACTGGTAAATTGTCTGCATCTTCCTGCCCATCGCCATATGCACACATGCACACACCTTTTTGGGTGCATTAATGCATACCTCAAACCTGAGCATCCTGCTCTGTGAATATGTAGCATTAGGAGGCCTCTTTCTACAAGTGCCTAGTTCCTGTTCACTCACAGATTTAATAAGCTCTGCTGCAGCCAATCAAAAGTGACTAGACAGAGTAAGCTGAATTTCACTGGTGGAATAAAGTTGGCAAAGCTGTGTTCTCAAGTTAACATTCTTTGAGTGTTGGCAATGTACCCAACACATAAGGGGAACACCCAGTGGGAAACCTGAGCAAGCAGTGTCAAGACTTGTGGAGAGGGCTCTCGCCACACTGAATAGCCCAAGGCAGGAAAGGCTACTAAAAGGATGGGGCTCTCCCTCCTAAATTCAGGATTCAACTACCAAGCATGGAGGTTCAAAATACCATGTGGGTGGTATGTGACTGTTTGTGGACTAAGGGAGTTCAGAGTTCAGTTCCACAAAAAGCAGTTAGCTTGCAATGGGCACCCAAAATCATAGTTAAGTCTACAGCAAGACTGCAAACTCAAACAACTGTGAGGTCCATTAACTGCCCATGCACTCATACCACATTAACTATCCATGGTAATAAAATGCAGACACTTGTGATGTATTTAAAAGATACATGGCAGCATATGGAGAAGGAAGCGGAACTTTCAGACTGCATTAGCATCCATTGCAAAGTCACAACAATTGTGGGACAGACCTCTGAACCTGTGAACTTCTTCTAGCATCAACTGTAACAGCACATGAGCTCTTTAAGCAAATCCTTCACTTAGTCACTTTGTGGCTTATGGGCCACATGTAATGGTTTAAGAGCAAGGCCTAGAAGGCTACAAAAGCTGAAGTTACACATTGTGCCTGTGGGCTTTATGTTGTGCAGGCCCAGCCTATTTAAGTCTATGCATTTAGTGTCATTGCTCTAGTCTTAGTGGCAGCTAACTTTCAAGCAGATTTGAAAAGTTACAACCACAGCCAGGCTGACCTCTTGCACATGGAAGCACTTTGTCATATATTGGGGCTGGAGTGTTGACCTACAAAACAGGAATTCAAAGTCCAGACCTGGCCCCTCATCTACCAGCTGCTGAGCCTTCCCTGTTAAAAGTCCTGCAAGGACAGAGTCAAAATGTACCAAGCACAAGTTTTGAAAAGGCTTTCCTTCAAAACTGCTAGAAATAAACAACCTTCAGTTGTGACAGGTGAAAACCTTGCCACGCTTCAAGATGCAGCAGTGCTAACAAAACAAAACAAAAAAGAAAGGAAAAAAGAAAACTACCTGATAATATATGTAGCTGGTCTTGCTATTTATTCTGCAATCTCAGTCTCCTGGTGGACAACCACCTTGGTCACAGACATGTCTGGGTGTTGCTCCTTTGCTTCTCTGATGGCCTGTACCAGAACCTGAAGAAAGATGGCATAAAGAACAAACTATCTTGAATCGAGTTTAGGGCAACAACATTTTGCTTCCTATCACAATCTAACTTTACCAACTACTTTCCATATAGTAATGAAGGCTTGCAACCTATCATTAAGGAAAACACTTTTGGATCAATTTAGGGCAACAAGGTTGTGGCATATTTATTGGGTTCTTTTTCTGACCCACCGCAAGGTCACAGGGCAGCTTTCAATATAAAAATATGATATTTAAACCAGTTAAAACAGTTTACAATACAAAAAAATAGGGAAGGTCTGAAAAATGTATTTCAGATGTCAAAGGCCAGGGTAATGCAGTGTCTCTTCAGTACAGAATGAAAGCTATGCACTAAAGGTTGGCAGAGTTCAGAATCTGGCTAGAATCTTATCATGGGTGAACTTTCAAATCCCTCTGGAGACCCCAAAGGTCATGCAATATATCTTGCATATTTGATCCGCCAACTGCTCCATTGATAAAAGTGCCAGAAACAATGTGCACATACTCAGAATAGTCACTAAACTAAAAGTCTTACTTGATCATGATCAATGTCTGCATCTCCTGTGATGACAATTCTTTTTTCAATTCGTGTTTCTGAAATTCCACCTTTCACAGTCTATGAGAGAACAAACAGCTTACAATGCAACAATGCCAAAATGTTAAAAAATAGTTTTAAAGAGAAAAACAAGCCTAGTTAATCAATCAGAGCAACCAAAAGGTCAAGTCAGCAGGAATGATTCATAATTAGATCTACTTTAGATGCATATCACTCTTTGACACCCAAATTCCTATGATTGTAAGCTTAATAGGTATGCAAATGATTTTCCTACTGCTGTTACAGGCCTGGTTTGCACATCATGGTGAACATGAGAGAACAGGGGCTCCTGGAGAAGAGATTGCAGTTGTTTCACTCCTTCCTGGTCATTCTGTTGTTGCACCGTGCTGTAGCTCGGTTTGGTTTAGTGTCATCTGAACCCTGGCTCATGGTTTAACTCTGCCAGGCAAACCATGAGCCATAAGCAATAGGAAAAGCTTTGGTTACAGCTCATGCTTAGTTTGAAGAGACATAAACCACAATCCCAATTTCCAATGATACTCTATACCAAGCTGTCGCTCGGCTCAGCTCAGCACAGCAGCAGAATGACTGAGAAGGAGCAAAGAAGCTGCAGTTTCCTTCCCAGAAGTCCACATGCTTATGCTAAGCCATGGTTTAGCTTAGCAAGACATGTGAATCAGGCCATAGTGAGAAATGTGAATGGAGTGTGTGATAACTGCTATCACAGGTTGTTGAACTTATATGGCTCCCAATGGCGGCTGAGTTTTACACAATTCTTAGCTTGTTCAAACCCACAATAGTGACCAAGCTCTCAGGGACACTATCTCCTTTTTTTCAAAACAGGGATCTGAAATGGAGACATGTTAGATTCCACTCTGGCCTGGGCTAGACTCCTTTGATCCAAAGCTAACATTCAGGACTATACTGGCTCCTAAGAAAAGCAGACTACAGCACACGTAAGAATACATAAAGGACATCAAAATAAAATTGTTTCAGAAATTACTTTTCTCTGCTGACATCCTAACAATGCAAAAAAAGAAAGAAAAAGAAATGGATGAATTTCCATATAGACACGTATCTTCAATGTATGAATAGTTAGAACCGCACTTAGATCTTGCAGACCTTTATCAGACACAAAGTTTGTGTGTCCACTTAATAACTGACCTAGTCATTATAAAGATATACATCTTTGTTTCCTCCTTTCCCTATTCAGTTTTTGCATAAAAAGCTAGTTCCACATTAAGAGAAATAGAGGGAGAGGAAAGACAAAGAGCAAGTACAAAAAAAGAAAGAGCAAGTAGAAAAAAAGTTTTTGTCCTATGGTCTGATAAGATGAATGGTCACATCTACATGGGGGGAAAGTAATATCTGAAACAGTCCTGCTAACATTTGCCTTTCTACTTGGACTACCACCCAATTAGAGAAATCATAGTGGATTCATTGTGTTTTAGTTGTTTGACTACACATACATATGAATAAAAGCAACACTTTTTATGAAAAAACATGTTTTAAAAACATATTTTGTTTTTAGATTCTGCAATCTTTCTTTTAGATAATGTTACAGCAAGCATCAATTCCTGATTGAGAAAGAAGAGGGGAATTTGCCTTAAGATGGTGCTTGCAAATACAAGTACTTGTATTAAAAATGATACTTTAAAAAATCCACTGGACGATTGAGATGCGTCTTTAGTCCTTTTTAAAAATAAACTTTATCTACTTGACTGAAAGTCACAGTTCCACTTTCAACCAAATTCATGCTAGCAGAAAACTCTTAGATTCAAACAAACACTGCTTATACACCAGGAGAACTGGTACAAAAACAAAGAGAGGTAAAGGTGTGTAAGCAACAAACCTAGTCATTGAAGGAATGCTGTGGAAGATGAACAGAAATGCTTAACAGCACAATTCCTTCATAATCTCATCATCCTAACCTACTGGCAAATTTATTCACCTTCTCACTCTGTTAGTCCAAATGAAATGGAGCCCAGAAAACCTTAGATTGTGTACCAATTTGATCCTTTTAATGTCTTTTTGTATGTTTTGTGGTATTTTATGCACTGTGATTTGCTATTTTATTGATTATAGATTAGTAATTCTTTATTGTAATTGATAAGCATAAACTTTTATTATACGCTGATGCTTAATTTTACTGTTTACTATTAGATTTCAATGGATGATTGAATATTGCTTTTTTGATATAAGTTAATTTAAAAGTTGTTATGTCTTTTTAATATTGGATCAGATTGTTGCTATTAATGGTTGATGTTTTATTATGTTTTTAAATGTGTTGGAAGCTGCCCAGATAGGTGGGGTATTAATAATAATAATAATAATAAACATTCTGAAATGCCTTTATCTGTGTTAACACAAGAATACTTCTCCATTATTAAGTGAAACCATGCATCACCTAAACATTAAATATAAATTCCCCTCAGGAGGAAGACATGGACCTATAAATATCCAGTACTTTGGAGGATAAACTGTGGAGAAAGCCATCCTTTAATCCAACAGTGTTTACGGAATTCTCTTTTAAGCTAAGTTACACAAACAGTTGCTTATCTTCCTATTATTGGAGAGGTTGTCCAGTGAGGGGCTCCCTAAGAGACCAAATAAGATTGTTTCAGAAATTACTTTTCTCGGCTGACATCCTAAGTATGCAAAAAAGAGATGGAGGAATTTCCATTTAGACACATATCTTCAAGTATGAATGGTCAGAACAGCACTTAGATCTTGCACTGAGAGCAGGAAAGATTAGATGAGCCAAAATAAGAAAAACATTTATAAAGAAAAATGATGGCAACATCAATGACAAGGAAAAGAGAAGTTTGACTATTCATTAACTCAAAGGAACTTGAAACAAAAGACCTTTTTCACTAGTTTACATGTTTTCAAGCCCTAGGAAAGAATGGTGCTCATTATGTTATTCCTGCCCCTTCCCTTAAGCAATATGTGAGCTTGCCCTCCCAAAGAGCAATGGTAGAAAGGTAGAGGCAATTATTCTGTTAAACCTAATTAGAAGTAAAGCCCCAAAGAAAGAGCAGGCTGAATCCACAGGGTTCTGTGCAAATAATGTTGGGGTGGGGGGGGTGATACTTCTCTAAGTGAAACCAGCATTCATACTCATAAAGATTGTAGACATCACTTAAGTTGCAAGAGTGGCAACTATTCTAGAATGAGTGATGTACAGGATGGTGACAATGAACATTAAAGCATTCTTTCTGGAACATGGACCAGGATTTCCCTTCCAGGGTCAAGTTAATGGGATTGAGGATAACTGAGATTAGGGAACGATTGAACTGTCAGTCACATCATCCCTCAAAACAGAGAGGTCTTTTAGCTTCCTTGACTAATACATTTCCTTTAAACAAAGCTGCCTTTGAATTCTTTCTGGTGGCTGCCTTCAAGAAAAAGCTTACTGTAGCTTTGATGCCCTCAACTTTGATGCTTTTCCAACAGCAGCAGTAACATTGGTGCTGGAGGAGAGCGCATCTGCAAACAAGAGGTAAAAATAATGACTATCTTGTAGTCGGCTGCTCTACTACATGTTCATTTGGGTCAATTGTATTGCAACACACGTGGCATATATATATTTTTCTGCCACACATTTTCACATGTGATGTATCTGGAGAGATCTCCACCAAGTAGTAAAGCTTCCCCCATATTGTGAAGACTATCTGGAATTATTTCCATGTGGTATCACTGCACCTAGTAGCTACAATGTTTGAAAGCCACTTTCCACATTAGTCATCTGAAATCCATATAGACTCGTTAACACAATCGGGTTGGTTGAACCATATGAACATTCCAGTATTACAGCCATCTTGAGGGACCGTGGAGTATGGAAGCAAAGTGAAGCACATAATGGGGACCACATAATGGCTGAAGCCTTATCTAAATATATTTGTTGCACTTTAGAATGACTTGGTATTGGAGATGCTTTCTTCTTTAGTACTATCATCTAGTATACAAAGGTCAGTAGTAATCTGTGCTTCTTGGCAATCTCTGGTGGTAATTTGTGTTTCTCAGCAATCTCTGGCCTTGATTTCTAAAACATAATGGGTCCTTTAATGTAGGCTAGCCCCAGCAGAGAGAATATGCTAGACACATACAGCTAAACACCATTTCTTTTGCCAGCAAGAGTGTGCTGAGCTTGCTCTATTGGTTATTTCAAATGAACCCTGTGTCCCAGATAATGTTAGCTAATGGTCTCTTCTCGGGGTAGCTGCCCACTTATTACTTTAACAACATGTGAATAACTCCCAAGTTGGAAACATCTGTGTACCTAGCTTGGGAAAAGACTTCCGTGTTGAAAGATGTTCAAAGTGGGGTTAGTATGCATTTCTCCAAGCTAGAAAGATCCAGGTGGGTCTGGTCAGTGTCTGAATAGGAGACCATCTGAGGACAGTATGTATGCTGCCTTGAGTTCCACGTTAGGGGGAAAGGTAGGTTATGTATGTTTAATGAGATTCGTTCTCATCAGCTTCTTTCCATACCATTGGAAAGAAGTTGAAAATGGTTGGGAAAATCCTGTTCAACAGTATTCTGAATACCATTTGTCCTAGATTGAAACCTTAAGTGAAGCATCACTGGTGACTGTGTCACATCTAGAGTACTGACAGGACAAGTAAAAGGAAGCAGACATGAGCCCTACAGTCAGTAAAACTCTGATGTGCCACAAGCTGCCAATCCCATTAGAGAGGGGTCACCCAAAGACAGACAGAGACTAGAGTTTGTACAACTCATTCCCTGTCAACGCAAATAGCTTATCAGTGAGGTCACACACTTGAGACTATTGTATTTTACCTTTGTAATCTGGGTAGTGGTAGTGCTGCTGGTGGTCTCTGAAGTGATGGTCTGAGCACTTAGCAGAACTCCAGGGTCTAAATCCCCACTGCCATCATCAGTCTATGGCAGAGATACATAACAAGTATAAATTATCTCCTTGCTCACCTAGAGAGAGTTGTTTGTTCAGCAGAGAAGGCTACAACGGCAAAGTGTAATGAGCCAGAAGGCTGCTGGTAAATTTGCAATAATGTTACTAATCAAATCTGCATCAATGCGGCACAGGATTGCAACTATTGGTTGTCTTCACACAAAACATTAAACCATAATTTAGCACTACATGAATTAGATATGGCAAGCCTTAGTGAAGAAGCATTGGGTTTCCACGCTCTCCTTTGCGCCTTCTGTGGGATCAGGAGGAGGACTTATTCACCAGCAAATCACAAAAATTAAAAATTTGATATTAAAAACAGTTAGAACCAAATGCAGCCACAGGAATCAGGTGGGTTCTGAAAACACACGTCTCAGCTGTCAAAGGTGAGGGCAACGAGGTGCATCTTCACCTTCACCAAACGAAACATCTCTGTGAGAAGGGAATTTCACAGCTTAGGGGCCACCACAGAGAATGCTCTCTTTCATGTCACTCCCCGCAAACTTTCATGGATGATGGAACTACCAGTAGGGCACTCTCTGAAGATCTTAACCCCCAACAGGGTATGTAGGGAAGGAGGTTGTCTCTCAGATATTTGGGGGTTAAGGTGTTTTGGGCTCTAAACACTGGTGTGGGCATCCTGAACTGAATCCAGAAACAAACTGGAAACCAGTGCAGCTGTTTTACAGCAGGGGTTATATGAGTTCCAAAGGCAACTACAGCGAATAAAATGGCTCCTGCATTTTAGACCAGCTGAAGTTTCCAAGTCATCTTCACAGGCAGCCCTATGTAGAACTCACTGCAATGATCCAGAAGCAACCAGAGCACAGAATACTGTAGTCAAATAGTCTCTATCCAAAAGGGGCCCTAGATGGTGAAGCAAACATAGCTGAAACCCCTAGCCGCAAAGGCCACCCGGGCCTTCAGTAACAATGTTGAATCCAGCAGGACCTGCAAGCCATGAACCTGCTCCTAGTAGTATAATCCCATCTACAAGTGGAAGTTTTCCTACCTCCTAGATTCAAGAACTTGGAACTCATAACACCTCTCTATCTTTTCAGGATTCACTTTCAATTTTGGCCCCCACTCAGCCTACCACACCCCACAAACACTTGTCTAGCACCTCAGCTGCCTCCTTTGATTCAGGTGTGTGTGTGTGTGTGTGTGTGTGTGTGTGTGTGTGTGTGAGAGAGAGAGAGAGAGAGAGAGAGAGAGAGAGAGAGAGAGGTGTCATCTACATATTGATGACAACTCCCAGCAGCTTCACTGAGATCTTAAATAAGACAGAACCCTGCAGGACACTACAGGAAAGCTCCCATGGCACTGAACAGTGTCTCCCATGACTACTTTTTGGAAACAACCCTGTAGGTAGGAGCAGAACCATAAAAATATAGCTAAATCCATGGCAGCTGGCCATGAAGACCCCCAGCAAGCGATAAGCCTGAATGTCCCCATCATCATACTTTTGAGTTCAGCTCAGCTAACTGGGTAAGGGAGCAAAATGTCTGGTACAACAATATAATCCATCGTCAGCTGTGGTCTCTAATTCAGATACTATGCTTTCCATGCTGCATGGGCTAGGAACTGGACAAAACTGCTAAGGTAAGAATTTCTCCAGGTTTTTGTCACTATCTTTTGCCCTTTCTCTTAGTCCTCAGGTAATGCGATACGAAAGGTCCCCAGAGAAAGCACACTTTCCAGTTACATTTCCAACGTGAACCAGTCTTTCAACAAAAAGGGCTAGATAACTACATAAAATATGTTTTGGTAGCACAGTGCAACATTTCAACCATTTTTAGGTACAAGAAAGCTTATGCAGAGCAAGGTGCATCAAAACTCATATGTGCCTAATGTGTCAGAACATCTAAGCACCAACAGTGGTGCTGCTGTGCAGAAACAAACTAAAAAACCCCAAATCTTAATTCAACACCAAGGTTTAATACCTGAACAACAATGCATTGTTTCCTCAGAATCTGGTTAGTGAGCTGTTTGACAAAACTTGTAGCACCCTCAGAGTTACTTGCTTGTTGCCACAATGGTAGCTTGAGCCTCAGTCCTGCTTCTGGAGCTGGATAGCCACACAAACATAATGAAATAAAAGGGGAGACTTGGCTCAAAGAGGATAGCCATAGTATGTGTTGGGGCAGGTGGTTACCTCTTTTTGAAGGGGAAAAGAAAGCTTTAAAAACCCAGGTGTTTGTTCCTATGCTAAAAAAGAGAGCTCTTTTTTTTCTTTAGTAAAAACTAACTACAAACAATGACCTTGATAGTGTGTGTACGTGTTTATGTGTAGTCTAACAATAAAAAAAACTTCCAAGGGTCACCATGACAGATTAGACTGAAAAAATTAGCTATGCACAGGTTCCTTCAGCAAATGGATGTTTCCCCTGGTTTGCCATCTCAGACTGGAAGAACACCACCAATTATTTCTTAGTCTGCCTTTAAACATATTTGTGCCACAGTGAAATATCTGCTCATGTACTTGTTCATTAGAATTACATATTAATTAATATTTGACAAGGGTTTGTGAAACTTACTGAAATATCAAATGCAATACCTTCAGAGTGTCCACTAGGTGGAAGCAGCATCCAACAGATATCACAGAATTTCCAAGGTTTCAACATATTCAAATGTGATGAGGACATTTTAAGCATCTCTCAGGTGGAGTCAGCTCTAGAATGTGTGGCTATTCCTTGTATGGTTGGCACAAAATAGCACAGAAATTGTTTTAACTCAGCCAGCAAACCTCCATGCCAGAGCTGACCAAAACCTACTTATACATGAAGTTGAGAGGGATTTTTATAATGTGAAGCTATATTCAAAACATATCAACCTCTACAAATGCAGATAATTTTAAAACATGTAGTGGATAGCTAAGCTCTATACCAGCTATTTAGGAACAGAATTTGGACATGTGCTAGGTGATAAACGTCATTCTCTGTCAACTTGCACTCAAAAGGCACTACCAAAATGTTTCACTCAAAAGTTCAAAAGCATTAAAACTAAAAAGGGCCAATTAAAAAATAAATAAATTCATATCCCAACATGCCTCCTAAAGAAACTCCAAGAGGGGGGAAATGTTGCATAGTACACTCACCAGCCAAATGGGAAATGCATTTAAAAATAAAAAAAGTTTTTTAACACGCAGACAGAAAAATAAAAAGGATAGATCGAAGCAGTTCTTCCGAAGAAGTGTATTCCATACAGAAAATGTTGCCACTGAGAAAGCCTTACCCTGTGTTGTTGCTAACCTTATTTTAGCAGGTGGAATGCAAAGATTAGAGAAATACATTAGAGAAATTAGTTCCTAAAGCATGAAGGCTCTAAAAATCAGAACCAACATGCTGAACTGGCCTGAAACAAATAGGCAATCCATGCTGTGAAGCCAGGACTGGAGTTCTACACTGTCTGGGGCCCTCCCTCATTTAATATGGAAGCTACCACATTCAGGGCCAGCTGAATTCCAACCAGACTTCAAAAGGCAGCAATAAGTAAGCACATTGCAATAATCTAAATGGGAACAAAGCATGGGTGACTGAAGTAAAATCCTTGTAAGAGAAAAAAGGGTGTAGTCAGCTCACCAAGCTAAATGATTAAAAAGAGTGTTCCTCATCATGACTGCCACCTGAGATCAAGGAGCAAGGCAAGGTTAAGTAGCATTCCTATGCTGGATATTTGCTACTCTAAGGGGAGTGAAGCCTCATGAATAACTCTCTAACCCAGTAGAGGCTGGTTCATTAAGATGAACAGGGAAGACCTGGCTACTCCTGGATTCGAGGGGGGGGGGATAAAGCAGGGTGTCATACCTAAGATACTCCAAAACTGCTGAATGATTGGCTGAAGTATCTGTGTATAGATACTAAAAAACAGAAGAGATCACAGATGGAACTTTTTGCTATGCCACAATATAAATCCCCAAAGGGTTGAGCAATAGTCACCCACTACTATCTTCCAATTCTGACCAATCATGTAGGAGAAGAGCAGTGCCTCCAAATCCTAACTGATTAAGCTGCCCCCAAAGGATATGATGGTCTATTGTATGGAACATCAAAAAGAATGTGCCGGACCACACTTTCCCTTTCAGATAATCCATGAGGGGCAACAAAAAAAAGCTGAAATCCCCAAATCTGCCCTGAACCAACTGGACTTACTCTTTCAAATTGGTTTCTCCTAAGAGTTCCTGCAACTCTGCCACCACCAACCACTCAATCAACTTGTCAGTACTGCTCAGTCCAAGTTGGTAGCACCCCCCCCCATTCAGGGACTTTTCAAATTGGAACACTTTCCCCCAATGATACAATAATCTGAGTCGTATTAGCCTGCCCTGGGGGGGCAGGGTTTTAGTGAGCTGGTCATAGGACTTAGATCTTCTGTACAGCCTTGGGTAGCAATAAATCAAAACTTCCATCAAAAACTGACAAGGAGGTGCATTACACACTTCATTGTGGCTTGCAGAAAACATGAAGCCTTGTCAGAGTGAATTCTGACACTGATACTAGTTCACTTTGGGGAACATGGTATTGTATACAGTGGTACCTCTAGTTGTGGACACGATCCATTCCGGGGTGCCGTTCGCACCCTGAAAAGTCCGCAACTAGAGCGGCGCTTCTAAGCAAGCGCAGAGCACAATAGAGCACTTCTACGCATGTGTGAAGCGCGAAGAATGCTTCTGTGCATGCGTCGAAACCCGGAAGTATACACTTCCGGGTTTGCCGCGTTCGCAAGCCAAAAAGACGCAACATGAACCTAACGCAACACGAGGTATGACTGTATAGGGAAAGCAAAACAGACACAAAACTTGGCATATATATGCTCACACAAGTTATAATGAATGCATGAGGATGAAAACTACATGCTCAGAAGCCACAAGCTACTTTCAGTTTTGATACTTCTCCCCAGAAAGTCAATATCCACTGGGTAGGAAGTATCTCCCTCATTAAATTTCTCCTAAAGGGTTAATAATCAAGAAGACAGTTGGAGTATCAAAACTTCTAGAAAGTTTTATTGGGGCTGCAATCTTGCTTTGGAATTAATGTAATATGTTTTGAAATTGATGTAAAGATGGTAAAGGTCTAAAGGTTCAAGTTCAATCTAAAGGTTCAGGTTCAAATAGCTGTCTTTGACCACTGCAGCCTCCCCTATTAACGCACATTTTCTTCCCTTTCTTTGTGCCTTCCATGAGTGTTGTGGCTATTGTGCAAGCATAGTGGGCATAATCCTCATATAGTTTGGGAAGCTCTTCTCATTGTGATCAATGCAGGGGGAAAACAGCATTATACCACTCTTTTCTGCAGCAAAGAGGGAAAGCCTAGATGCCATACATATATGTACAAAAGTCTGAAAACTCAAGCCTGATCAGACTTCCCAGATATGTATTTATGTTTGTGTTTGGTGCAGAAAGCACTGGTGTCAACAGTGGTATTTCTCACAACAATTTAAACCTGTGAAGCTCCTCTCAGGTAAGCTTGTCCCATTGAAATCAAATTTTCTAATTTTCACTGAGACTATTTACACTACAATAAAACTGTACCACCAGATTATGAAACAGCCTACCTGTGCAGCTTCATAAGTTATAGTCTTGGTCTCTGTATGGACAATAGGAACTTCTTTCGTTGGAATTTCACTTTTCACAGTGTTCGACACATCAGAGATAGTAACTGTCTGAGTCTTCACAAGGGGTGGCTACAAAACAGGATTTTAGAGAGAGAGAAATCGCATTTAGTACCATTAAACTCTAACAATATTACTGACAACCATTCCAATACTGATCTGATAAAAGCACAATGGACTCCATATAGAAATTTCAATTGCTATGTTGTTTGCACTAAAGGCACATTTTGGAAAGTCATCTGTCAATGTTTGGAGATAAAATAAAAATAACATTTTCCCCCTAGCTTCCTGGCCAAATGTGACCATCTGCAAACTAAAATATGGAAACTGCTTCATAGTTAAAAGGGTAAGCCAAATTTAGCATGCGGATAAGAATCTTTATGGTTAGGAGGAGCTCAAGTCTGATTAATATGCTAGTATATTAAGAGATTATACAAATGTATGATTTCCAGCCAGTGTGAGATGTGTAGAGTCCAGTAGCTTCTATTAAATCAGCATCAGATCATTATTTATGGATATTCAAATCTCAAGAATAACAGGAAAAGAAAAATCAGCTGTGCCACCACCTGATAATTAATCAAAAGAGAATGTAATATTAGTAAGAGCACCACCAGGCTTTTCCCACTCTGTTATGTTCCCTTCACCTTTTCAAAGTCTGACAGATATCACCTTGATTATTACCAGATCAAATGTTGAGGTATTTTAGCAGATGGGATTGTTAAGAACACTGGAGCAGGCAATTTTTATTTATTTTTTACTTTGATGGGTAAATGCAGGTGTTTCCTCAGAGATTTCCAAATCAGATGACTATAGACTCAAAGAGCTATGTTTTGTTCTTGTAAATGGAGAGACTTGCGGCGCTGGCTGCTTTTAGCTCAATATTTTCTGCAGTGTATTTACAACACACAGAAGACATTTAGCACTATCTCATAAAATCTTTTAGAATTGGTTTCCTTTTCTTTTAAATATATTCTGCTTGAGTCAGGAGACAATACTTTTTAAAAAATTGTTTTAATAAAATATACATCTACTTTGTAGAGGAGGGGAATCATTCCTATAGACTGGAGATTAAGTGGTTGATTAGTTTGGGGAATATTTCAGGCCATCGAAACATAATCCTTCTTTATGGATTTATGACATATGCTTGCTGCAGTGTTTGTAGAATGACTCCGAAAATGTAGCAGAGAAGACTGCAAAGAGAGATGTTTCAAGTTCACATTTACTACCTGGAAACAGCGAATGAGGGCAGGAAACTCGTTATCAATACTTGAGCTGTGGCATTCTCCATTTAGCTCGCTAAGTGGCTCACTTGCCCCTTTTCCCCCTTCAACATCACAGGCTTCCTCCTCTTGTTCGTGGAGGTGCAATGGAGGTGAAGAAGGGATTTTATAGACTTCCATCTCATCCTGTTTTGAGTCCTCAGCCTCTTTCTCCACAACTGAGTAAAATCCCTCTCCACACCTTAGGTCTTCCTTACTCTCACTGAGAGCGGCAGCAGCAGCAGCAGCACCCTGCTTCTCCTGCTCCTTGCTGCTTGCGGAAGAAGTGTCAGATTCACAAGTATGTGCAGACTCCTGTGGGCTTGACACTGGGCTCTCACTAAGGGCCACTGAGTGCTTTGAGACCTCCCATTCAAAGTGAGAGGTAATATTTTCCCCCTCTGCCATTGCATCCAGATCCTCTTTGAAGGGAGAGTCACTCGCACTCTAAAATGAAATGAATACACAAAAAGGCCAGAAATTAGGAACAGGGCACACTAGAAACACAGACCATTTTAGCACATGTCAATTTGAAAGGGCCTATATGCAACCTATTGCAATCCACACAATAGAAGATCAGTACAGTGGTATACCTCGGTTTAAGAACAGCCCTGTTTACGAAATATTCAGTTTATGAACCCCCGAAAACCGGAAGTAGTGTCCCAGTTTGAGAACTTTACCTCGGTCTAAGAATAGAATCCGAATGGAAGGGCATCGGCGGTGGGAGGCCTCATTAGGGAAAGCGCGCCTCGGTTTAAGAACAGTTTTGGTTTAAGAACGGACTTCCGGAACGGATTAAGTTCATAAACCAAGGTACCACTGTACTTCAAGTGTTTTGAAAAATGGCCAAGTTGCAGGTAGGCCTGACACACGGGAATTGACAGCAGTGCATATCCTGACAGCAGAACTTCCAGGGCCAGGGTGAGACACCCTGCTCTGCTTTTTGACAAGGTGGGGACAAGATGTCACTGTCCTCTCAACTACTCTTCCTTCCCTTGTCTCTGCCAGCAAGGCAATAATACATTGGAGATGGGACATTCAAACATCACTGCCAGTGCTGTCTAATACACATAGATATGATGGGATCACAATGTGTATCAGGCCAAACCAGATGAGATCTAATGGATTTCAGACGGCCCCCAAACTGGACTGGGGCAGCAACAATAAGGGGGCAGAGGGAAACCATCTTCCCCTGTGCCATTTCCCTGGTTTTAAATTATTCTCTCCACAAAGCTGGTATTAGCAGTGGCAAGGAAATGAGACAGAAAGCCATCCTGAATCTATCTTTTCCCCTCCTCATCAAATGGCAGTTTCGGTGTGAGCATTAACTAAGAAAAATGGCACAGGAGAAATGGGTTATCTTTCCAACACTGCACCCCCTATCCTCACCCTATGGCTGCACACAAGTCTTCTATAGTCCCACATATGGATTGGTCCTCGCTGGCACAAGGAGAATGGCTGACGTTTGTGACATGCCAAGGCCTCTCTGCATCTGCACTATTTCCATTTCTAAGCAGGCAGTGATTCTTTTAAAAACTAAGTATTAAAGGGTTATCTTCACCTTACTGAGAATGATCGGTTCCTTTAAAAAGACTTCCATAAAGAGAAGGGAAACACATTTATTGCTGTATATTGAAAAAATATATTATCCGTGCAGAAGAAAGTTCTATATGACTTTAGAAAGCTTATATTGCTTCCAAAGAAAGAGTTTAAGGATACAATGCCTTTTCCATGTGGCGAAAGTTCTGATGAGTTGGGATATCTACTTTTATATGCACCTCAAGGAGCCATCTCAGTTGCTGATGCTTCCAGCATTGCAGAACATCAAGTATAACTTTAAAGCAGACAATATTACTGTTTGGTAAGAGTCAGATCAGAATCAGCAGATCTCATGCCAAGAGAGCCCCAAACATACATATGCCACATTCAGAAACCATACTGCAGCCTCAAGACGATATCACACCAAATGTGAGCACATTATTTAAGCGTTTGCAATGGTGCTGTTTGTCTGAATATATCTGATCGCTGAAATGCTGCAATTCTCAAGCAATCATTTCTTTTGATCTTTTACTGTAAAATGAGTAACAAAAAAAGATGTTGTGAAACAAAGAAATCCAACCTCCCTAAAAGAAAGCAAGTGTGTCCATAGCACCTGAGATACTTTGGAAGACTGTGCCAAGCCAGAGGATTTAACCAAGGCTGGTGCTATTCTGTCTTCCATCGTGCGCCTGTTAGAAAGTTCTCAACTAGGTCTTCGTACATCTCTGCGAGCCCTCTAGCTAGAACTTGAAGGAAAGGAATAGTAACAGAAGAAAAGACAAGAGTTAAAACATGCACAATACCAGAAAACGTGCATAGTAAGTAGGAAAATCTTAACAGGAAAGGGGGAAAGAGAAAGCTATAAGCCGCATATGTAAATCACAGACCACAGTTTTAAATAGGATGATATTTTTCGAAAGTAAATTTTCCACAGTTAGTGGAAAGGATGGTTGGTACAGGCAATCAAATAAGCAAGTGGATGTTTATATAGCAGAATACAAAACATCAATTATTCTTAAACTCTGCTTTATTTAGTAATGGGATAAAGCAGTTGAATAATGATAAACAGTCTAAGGAACACTTATTTCCTTTAAAATAAGTTTTTTAGATTTTTGCCCTGGTATCTGCAAATGCACATGCACACTCCAAGTACATGCACAAAAAAGGGTGAGCTAAAAAAAAAAAACCTTACTTGTTTCAAAATTAACCAGACAACTATATATCATTTAGCACTTCTTTCTGTATTTATAGGCAAGCAAAAGAACTGTACTTAAGATTGCAATCCTATATATACATGAGAAAAAGGGATACTGGACTCCATAGATTTATTCAGGTCCAAATCAAATGGGGGAAGAATATTGAGGAGGGGAGCAGCTGTTCCGGGCAGCAGATTAGGGGGGTGGCAAACAGCATCATACCCTCCACCTTCCTCCCTGGTCAAGCCCTCAGTAGGCAGCAGGAACTGTGCTTTTGTATGGGAACTACTCACTATCAAGCAATAGGAAATGCCTGGTCAGGGCATTGCATGTTAGGTAATTTGATAACGGGCATGAACAGCCACAGCACAGGGAAACTGAGCTTGCTTCCTACTCTCATTCAAAACTGTTAGCTCCTTGTTTCCTGGAAATCCTATTGAACGATGACCATCTTTAGCTGCAAGAGCAAAAAGCTGTGGATGGATCTTCCCTCCTAGCAAAACTAGGGCCTCACTACTAATGTGAAGTGGATTAATTATTTTAATTAATTATTTATTTTAAAGTGGATCTGTTTATTTTAGGGAGGTGCAGAGGGTGGAAAGAAGTCAGAAGAATGGATGGTAAAGGGCCCTCTCTTCATCCTGTACAGTCATAACATTGTATCCCGAACACCTTGGCTACCAAACAAATCGGCTCCCGAACAATTGAAACCCAAAAGTGAGTGTTCCGGTTTTCGAATGATTTTCAAAAGTCAAACGGAAGCTTCCTGCAGCCAATCAGAAGCTGCGCTTTGGTTTCCAAACGTTTTGGAAGTCGAACGGATTCCATTTGACTTCCAAGGTACAACTGGATATGGTAATGTAATGTATCACAATTTCCTTCACCCTTCACCTCTTTCCTGTCATCTATTCATCCTCTGGCTGCCTTCCTGCCCTGTTCTTTACGTCTTCCCTTCTTTCCTTTCTCTCTTTCTCTCAACTTGTTTCTTTCCTTCCACCACCTTTTTCTCCTTCACTGGGATGCAGGTGGCGCTGTGGTCTAAACCACTGAGCCTCTTGGGCTTGCTGATCATAAAGTTGGCGGTTCAAATCCACATGACAGGCTGAGCTCCTGTTGCTCTGCCCCAGCTCCTGCCAACCTAGTACTTCAGAAGCACACCAGTACAAGTAGATAAATAGGTACCACTGCGGTGGGAAGGTAAATGGCGTTTCCATGCGCTTGGTTTGAAGAATATTTTTTCTGCAGCATATGTAAGTGTGTGTTACAAACAGGAGAAAGGGCACCAAGCCACATTCAGGCATCCGCTCAGCTCCCATCAAGGCCTTCAATTTGTTAACTGTAGGATTGGCCTTTTCTTGGTTGTGTGTTTTAGGAAGTGCTACCTGAATTTTTTGGCGTGTTTTATTTGTTTGGCCAGGGAGGGGGGAAGGTGTAAGTACTTTGTGGCTTAAAAGTGTGCCCCTGGGCCCAAGGAACTCCATATATTGCCTCCCTACAACCCATAAATGATATGAAGAAATGGTGATTGGGCATAGTTGCAAACATTATCATATTTCCTCATTGCTTGTATTTCAGATTTCATATCCATCTGCACCTTAAGAATTCTCCCTTTTTATGTCCTGCTCCCTTTTAAATAAAATCTATATGACTAAGGCTATCTTTTCCCTAGGCTTCCCTCACTTAAACACCACTGAATGATAAATAATTATAGTAGCTCAAAAGGGGTTATTCACAATCAGGGAGAAGTGGGTGGCAAAATTTCTACATCTGGAACTGGATTTACTTATCTATATTTATAAACAGCTTTATACCCCTCAAGACATCTTACAATAGTATGCCATTTAAAAATAAGTAACATATATAGCACCTAATTTTAGTATCTTACAATGGTGGGTTATAATCTAGAGTTACGGTATATGTCAGTCATTGAGCAGAAAAAGCATCCACCATGAACTTGTTTAATACAAGTATTTTGGGAGCTGGCCATTTTATGTTAAAAATCTTATCAATCGAATATTCAACATGATCCTACACAGGGCTGTAAATTTTGATGCACAGCCCTTTGCTTACACTGCAATTGTTAAAGCAGGATCCTATGTAAGGCAGGAACAGATCCATTCATTTGGCTCCAAAAACCCCTTCCATCTTCCTTGCTACAAAGTTTAGCAAATATGTGCCAGTGCTCAAAGGATGGCCTTTTCTCATAGCACTCGGGGTGCTGTGCTAAGTGTACAGATGGGTCTAACCCTAATTTTACCCTTCTAGCTCCACAGCAGCTTTTTCACAGGGTTCGTTCCACAGGGCCAAACCAACTGCTGAGAGCTCTATGCCTGAATCCAGCGCCTGATATTTTTAAGAGCCAGAAATCAGACTTAGTGAATTTGAACAAACTTTGCTCAATGGGAAAGACAATTGTCTGCATTAGGAATAACTTGCTAAATGTCTGGGAGATTAGGAAATAGTCTGCAAAAAATTGCAATTTTGATTGGGAATAATGATCAAAAAATAAATACTCAAAAGGCATCTATAAAGCAAACATGTTTTCAACACACAATAGCTGCAAATGGTCAGCCACATGCAAATCTGAGGGGGTGGGAGAAGCATTGATAAGATCAGTTGGTGGGAACAACTTTTTCTTGCCACCCGATTGCACCACCAGCCAAAATTAGCTTCTTTGAGAAGGTGAATGCTTTTATCCACACACACACACAC